AGGGAAAGTACATTCCTCAGCTGGGTCTAAGGAAGGTAAAGCATAGGTGACTGAGGTTTGATGACTTCTAGCAAGTGACTATATTGCAGCAAAGTTAATAGCAAAGGCTTTTTGTGAGAGCTGTTTGGAAAGCTGTTACAAGTGTGCTCTAGTCAACGTATTTGCTCTGTTTCAGACCTGAAGGGTAAAGAGTTCCTTAGAAGTTCCCCAAAGGATACAGGTTAACAGCCTTACTCTAAAATAAATAATAATAAAAAAAAGATGCTTAGCTTCAGGTCTTTGCTTACTGAGACATTGAGACTATGGTGGTTTATGTTAAGGCGAAAGACTCTCTCCAGCCAGTAGGTCTGGTGCATTTAGGTCACTGTTTAAAGCTCAGAAAAACACCTTGTACTAGACCTGAAAATGAAGAGATGGCCAGTGTGTGTCACCAACCTTTGGCAACTTCTGGGGTCTCACTTTGAGTCACACCTTACCTGCATGCTATTTGCTTTTGCCCCATCTTCTCTTTCCCAATTAGTCCGTGTCTGTGTGTGTAATGTTGTAGAGGCTGATGTGGAATTTGGGGTGACGAAGATGTGTGTTGAACTGGCAAAGACTGGATCTGAGGAAAAGCTTTCACAGTCACCTGGGTAAGAGGTAATGAAAGAGATGAATGTGGGCAATGGCACACTGGAAGCCAACACTGCCCTCTGAGAGCAGAACCTCAGAACAAATCATAGGTGAATCTCAGTCACAGGGTTGCCTGTTACCTTTTTTGCTTTTGGTAGTTCTTTCCTTCAGTCTCCTGGTTTTTGCCTTAGCTAAACTGTGTTTCATCCAACTAGTTCTTAACGCTGTGCTTCTGTTTCTTTCTAGAGGATCAGTATGTGAATTGCCTCTTCCCTGTCCATCATCTACTCTCGTGCCCTCTCAGTTTCCTCTGTACGAAGCGGTATATTTTGGAACATCTGGCAGCAGACGTTATCTTGTGTTTTGCATGCAAGGACCTAAGAGATAGACCGTTCTTCTATTTTTCTCTAGCAGTCCTGATTTCAGACTGCAGCTAACATAAGTTTTGAAGGGTAGTTCATGAATCTCAGTTTCTTATGTCAAAACTAATGATAGACAATGACACACATGAGAATTTTTTTCACAGGACTAAAAGGCAGCAGCCAAACAAAAGGAGGAACAACCTGTTAAATATATTCTGGGGGTTTCTACTATATTTTTTAGTTCTCTCTTCATAGTTTGGTGCAATTTCTAAACTTATTCAGTCTTATTTCAATGGGCAATTTAAAATGCTGATTAAGAATTAGGGATGTAGAATTTCAGTCCTTAAAATTAACATTTTAAAATTCCATTTATCTTGCAGTTACAAGTCTCTTGGTTTTATTTTGTTATTCACAAACATTAATGAAGAGGAATTAAATCTCCCAATTGAATTTTCGAAGTTTTAAATCTAACCTCTAAAACTATGCATAGGAAAAAAAAAAAAATCCTTTCCAGATTTGATAGATTACACTCAACTGTTCTACCTAGAATCAGCTCTGCTTTTGGATAAGAAATGTTTGTGAAGAATTTGGGATTCAACTGACAAATCAGTTTGAAAATTTTGCTATTGAAAAAAAACAGTCTTGCATCAGTTGCTGCCTTCTGTAAACACCATAGAGACTCAGGGCAACGGCGAATCGGCATGCTGAGAGCAAAAGGAGAAATCAATGATGGGGTGAGGAGCTAGAGGAGAGAGCACATGGTCCTCAGAGACAGCAAAGTAAGGCAGCGAAGGGTATCTTACGGAGAACAGAGCAGTCTGCACGCTTTGTGTTGCTGTGTCTCTTGGTTGATTTTCAGGGTGGAATACGTATGATTTTTACAAAAAATGCCTATGTGTATGTGTCTCGCTTGGCTATCACAGCAAATGCAGAAATACTAGGCTTTTATTACTCATCCTTCTTGAAGTTCAGCTATATTCTTTGGAAAACAGGCTTCTGTGGTTTTGTCTTTTAAGATTCCACAAAGCATTGTATATTTATTTTTTTGAAAGAGAAAATACGAAACAAAGTTTTTTCTATACAATGATTTAATTGAATGAAAATGAATGACCTAAATATTTGAAGTATTTAAGGACATGTTTCATGTGACATTCAAGCAATTACAAAGAAAGGCAATCACCATAAACATATTTTCTGTAGACTTTTACACAAACCTCTATCCTTATTCTGTAACATTTTATCGTAACATAGGGGTGTTATGCAACATTTCCATTCCTTTTATATAAAGATCAGATAAAAAGATATTTTCAAAGATTGTTTTATTTGGTAAAATATTTAAAAAAATCTTAAGCCCCCTTTCCCAGAAATTGCTTAGACACTTTAACTTCAGTGTCCGTAGGCTTAAACCTGCAGCACCAACTAACTTTCTAGTTAACTACTCGTTATAAGGCAAATGCAGCTAGTAATGAAGCTTTCTTGTTTCCTCCTCCATCTTGTGATGTTGAATTGCTATAAAGTCAGTTTTATTTGTATTAGGGTATTCAGAAGTTCTATTAAATACTGCGAAACGTTAGGTTAGACGAGCGTACAGAGTAAATTCAAGCAGATTGTTGCTTGGATGTAACCTAAATAGTATATTCTGCTTGCAAGGGTTAAAACCGTACATAAAAAAAGAAAAAAAAAAAAAAAAAGAAATCCCTCGTGGAAAGGACCTTTGTGATAATTGCAGTCATTCATAGTTAATTAACACAGCATTCAAACAATAATATAATCA